GTGAAGGAAGCCATGAGACTGGTGACTCTGGAAGATTTTCTCATGAGTCCAACGACGAGATACACCTCTCCTCTGTGACAAGCGCCACACCTCCCACTACCAGTCCTTTCGCAAGCAGTGACTCGGGTATGAAAACGATGAGCCCAGCCATAAGTAACTGCACAGTGTCTCCTCTGCCGTTCGCTACTGACCAGACTCCTACCTCACCTCTTCAGATACACCCTTCGGTGCAAAACTCACATCCTTAGGGCCATGCCAGACATTCTTGCAGTGTATGTCTGTTCGAAGGACAATGAACAGGGAGCCAAAGTTTTATTGTGGAAAGCCTGACTAACCTAGCAGGTGATCCCCTATTTCTGTTGAATGTTTTTTTCTTTTTGTGCTTTCTTTTGTTTGTTTTTTTTAAAACTCACTCATTTTGAATGTTCAGTGGTCAACAAATGTGAAAGGACAGTGAAGATTTCTGACTAAAGTTAAAAATATGTCACTGGAGCAAAGGGAAGGCTGTTGGCCCTTTTGCTGACTATCTACCTCAGTTTGCCGAGAGGTGAACTCTGAATGACGACTGCTTTACCTCATTTGTGTTCTAGTTGGTCTCAGCTATGGAACTGATGATACTTCCTAGTAGTGTTGTTTTATTTTGGTTTTTTGTTTTGTTTTCAGTTGTGTGTAGAATGCGTGTGTGTGTGCGCGTGCCTGTGTGTGCGCTCAGTGATCAGGGAGTTGTATAGGTAGGTGAACAAGATTGTTTAGCTGAAGCTCTGTCTTTAAAAAGAAGGAAACCTCAGAGTATAAAATGCAATGATTTAATGTGGTTGACGCAGAGGATGGTAAAAAATGGGAAAACTGGAGTTGGTGCTTCCATGTATACAGCCACATAAAATCTTTTGTACCTCTTGAATTCTCATAACCCCAGTGAGCCTAGGACAGTGCCTTTCCCCAGAAACTTGTGCCAGCAACTGCTGACAGGATGTATGCTATATCCTTAGGGCTCTGGGACGTGTTGGGTTCCCCACAGTGACAAATGTTGCCCCTTTATTGACAGTTAATGCTAAAAAGCATGGCAAAATGAAGAACTGTTCAGCATTTCCAAACAGTTTGGTTCTACCTGAGACTCGTGGAATAGATAATAATGCTGAGTGTTTCAGTATCGCAGTACTTCTTAGCAATGGTGCCTTGCATTATATATTATGAAATTCCTGATTTGCCTTATGCCTTTTTAGTATTCATAAAGTTGCTTTGGAGTACAGAAAGATGCCTTAAATGCTTCTTAGATGTTTTAAGCAAACTGTATCATGAGTTTAACATTCATTTTTACACAGCTTTGAGTGCTGACAAGCGCTGCTAGCATCATAGTATGTCTCAGAGCTGTTGTTAGGATGCAACCCTGCTCCTTGCCTTCGCCTAGTGTGCTGTTAGCCAGGAATTTTAGCTCAGGGAGTGACTTTATCCACATGCCAATTTAAAACTCTGATTAGGCTACCACCAGAAATAAAAAAGCCAGAGCTTTAGTTGAAGAGTCTGTTGAAAGAGGTGAGTACTGCTACTGCCTTGAACCCATGCAATTCCTGTTTTATACTACCTCCTTTAAAAGTTATTATAGTGTTTTTGGGGTTTTTTGTTGTTGTTTTTTTTCCTGTACTCAGGGAACAGTTTGTTACTTTTGAGCTGCCTCACGGAAACGTGGAGCAAACTGACAGGGTATCATGTTTTGTTTTTTAATAGGAGAGAGGAAGAGAGAGGGAGGAGGTTGGAATCATCCAATATTATAAATTTGCCTGTATGTCCAGTTTTTTAAAAAAGAAAAGAAAAAGAAAAAAAAATTAGGCATATGTTTTTACTTAAAAAAATATATGTTTGAAATGTAATGTTGTGAGAAAGCAACCATAGGAACTCCTGGCTCTACTTAAGTCTGTCAGAACTCCCATTGACTTACTGGGGCTAAGACATCACCCCTAAGGTAGGCCAGGCTGACTGTTGTGTTGTTCCTCATGTATCAAAAAGTGGTCAGAAGTCGTCAATAAGCCCTACTGTTCTGTCTGCTTTGTGTTGGTGAATCAGCCCCGAGTTACTGTAGTTCTTTACCTTGTAACTGTTTGCTAGTTCTGAAACAGACAGTACACATTCGCCTTTTCATAAGTGTTGATTCAGACGCTTTAAAAACAATCTTGTACCAAAGACTTTTCTGTAGAAGAGAAGGAAGCCACATATTGTCCAAAAATAATTGAACTAGTTAAAAGCTATAGGTTTGAAGAGCTGAATACATTTTATTGTAATAAGTAGTTACTAACAAAAAACAATAGGGCTTCTTGATTGTAGTAGTTGATTGCATAGATGAGTTGTATGCTTCTACCATTTTAACTACCTTGTACAAGAGCCTTTAAAGAAAGTTATAATAATACCAGCATATACCTCCAAAGACTTCCAAGTGTAATTTTTTTTCTCCAGCATGTAGTTGATCAACAATACAGTATTAAAAAAAAAATAATTTTTGAACAATTTTTATCTACTTGCTGAAGAAAAAGAAAAGTTTTCACCAAAGATTTATTTTTGGTCTTGTCAGGCAAAATGTTTAGTGTACAGCAGAGAACTGTTTCTAGTTAGGTAAAGTGTGAATTAATCAAAACTAGATTAAGAATGTGTAACTGTAGCATGAAGTTTCACACTTCATCTTTCAGAGTAGCCTCTTTTGTTAGTTTCGTTCAGAAAGAGCTGATATGCAGACGGTAACTGTTTGCTTCTCCAAAGACTTGTTTGCTGTAAGTACTGATAATCTGATGTAATTTTATGACCCTCGTTACAGTAAATACTTTAAATCCTAAACTTTCTCTTCCAGAGACCCACTCTGTAGTTTAACCCATTTGAGAGAAACAGAGTTCATATAAAATTTGTCAATCTAATATAGATGCTCTAACTTCAGTAGCCAAAGAGCTGAAAATATTCAGTGTATTAGAGAGCAGAGCATCTAGAACTCTACTCATCACTTAATGTTTTATTAAGGTACTTTTTATCAGCAAATAAAGAAAACCAAAGATATTTAAGGTTACCTCAGCATATAGGCAAGCTTAGTTATACACTAATTATTCTGTCTTTTTCTTTGTTTTTATGTTAACCAAATATAATATGTTTCTCCAGAACCCAGTCAACGTTCCTGTGCTTCCCTTTACTTTGTCACAGTGTCATGATTGCTACAGAACAAAAAATATGTTCTCCTCAACATTCATGGCCTGTTGCTAATATATGACAAGTTTTTGCAAGAGAAAATTTGTCTTGTGATTGAAAACTCCTCCAGCGTAAGCAAAGGAATCTCCAGAAAAATTGTGTAGAAATTGATACTTTCTCTATTGAACTCAATAGCAGAATCAATCCTTCATGTAACAGTGCGCTTTGTAAAGGTGCAAAATTGGACTCAAAGTTTAAATGCTTCATGTCCTTGAAGCCAACACATGTAATTATAGATATGATATTACAGATAGTAATTTTCTTAAAAGTTTGTACCTGTGGCTAAGGAAATCAGTTTTTCATATGTAAACTTTGTTCATTCCATTTGTTTAGAACGAGCTGGCGGAACACAGCAGGTAGAATGGTTTCACGTTTTCCAGTTTTTTGGGGTTTTTTTTGGTTGTGTCTGTAGAAACTGGGTCCTGGAGAAAAAATTACCATTTTTTAATTATGAATTTTACTAAATATGTTCTGGAAGATGAACATAAATGTGAAATTTAGTGTTACACTATGTGAATTGATTTTGTTTAAGTGTATTAAAAACTAAGGAGCCATGGCTGGTGTAATGAGTGTATATGCAACCCTGGTACTTTAAAATGAAAGCCAAAATGTTACAGTTGATGTGACTTGAAATGCATCAAAACTTATAGAGGACATCTTGAACCTGGCTTACTGTGCTAACTGTGTTTTCATGTGAGGACCCTGTCCTTCAATTGCAACAGCAATGCCTGTCCAGCAGGACCTGGATCCAAAACCAAACGCTTAATCTGCCCACGGTCACACTTGTGTACTTTCTTCATGTTTAATAAATAAAAAGTATTCTCATCTTTAAGGAGTTATCTAGGAGAACTGGGAATGTATATGCTGTGTAGAACAGGGCCTATCAGTTGATTATTTTTTTAATAGCTCTGCTTTTGTAAGAGAAACTTGAACAATTTACATATCACTTTTAATAATTTCCTATATTAGCTGTGCATTTTCTGTATAACTTCTGAGATTTTTAACAGAAAAGAGTATCGAGAGATTTCTTCACCTGTTTTTAATTATTCTTCATAGTTCATTGCCTCTTTTATTTATTCCCTTGCTTCCCTTGTTTTTATGAGCTTGCTTGCCTTATTCAAATCAGGGTCCTCATCCTGTTCCTTTTTAAGTCAATGGAAGAATTAATTTCTATTTCAGTTTGCATGGTCTGGAGAGACAAAATCAGCTTTTTGTTTGTTTGCTTTTTAAATCTTCACTGTATTACTTTTAAATGACAGAATTCTTATGTGGTTAAAACTCCCATTGGCAAATGGATTTTTGGTACGATAACAAGTTATCATGCATCAGAGGTCCGCTGTAACTCTCCATGCATCCAGTCTTGGCCTGTAGTAAATACTGAGTATTTCAAGTTCGTTTACCTCTTTTTCGTTGCAAACAAAGTCAATTGAATGACTTAACCATTTGCTGCAACCTGAGCATACACAAGCACAGTCACTGTGGACTGCTGGGTCTCAATTACATGTTACTTGCTGACCATGCTTGTAAGCCCGAAGACCAGGAGCTCTTGCTCATTTTATTTGTTACAGAAGGAAGTTCACGCAGGGAAAAGCCCATCTCCTAACACGGGGAATGTTGGTAGGTTTTGTAGGGCACTCCACATTTAGCCAAAAATCTCAACTCAGACCAACTGCAGAGAGAGCTGCACAGGTGTAATTCTGGTGGTATGTCACAGAAATCAATTTACTGAAGTTATTCTGGCAAAATTGAAAGCAGAATGACACCTAGTAGTTGCTAAAGAGATGTAGTTCTTGGCTTGAACAATTGTTACCTGCTCACTAGTTGTTGCAACTGCAGCTCTGCTAATAGCAAGCAATTTCTAAAGCAGAGGAATTTCAGCATCTGCAGGAAATACTGGGCGACATTCTATAATAACATAAGTTAAAAATATATTATTTATGTAACTATGTTTTGGAACATGTGTTTCAAAAAAATACTATTCTTCAATACAAGCCCCAAACCAAATTGCTTTCTGTTAATAGAGGCCCGTATGGAAAGAACAGAAATTCAATTTGGCTCAAATGCGAGTAAGTTTATTTCTTTGGAATTCCTCTAGATTTACACTGAGACTTGTCCTAATTGGCTCAAAAGGGATGTAAACACACGCTTAAGGTTTTGCCGTGTTGGGCCCTCAAGTTCCATTGCGAGCTGTGCTCCTTCTGGAAGTTTTCAGCTTTTCATGGTTGCATACACCCGCATTGCATCTGCCTGGTGTGTTTTCAGTAAAGACTGACTGTATATGAAAAACTGACTTATACAAATGTTGCTTTTTGATTGTTTGGCTTTTGGGTTTTTTTAAAGTTGTGAATGAATTGCCAGTGTAGGAGCCAGGTATGTATCTCATATTGTGGTGTTCTGGATCCTGTCACTCCGTGTGCCATTTTCTTCTAAGGGCAGCAGTGGCCGACTGGCTAATGGAGGATGGAGCTGAATTGTATTAATTTTGTATTTGTCTCAGGGGATCAGCTCTGTGAATTCCATTGCATGAGGGAAGCTAATGTTTGCCCTGATTTGAATGTAACTTTTTAATGTCTTTTAAAAACTATTTTGTTTAATAATGTGGATTTGTTTTTCTTTTTGTAGCATTCTAGTAAATGTTACCTAGTGTGTTTGTCCATTTTTCCCCTGCAGGGTTGTTTATATACTACCCCAAGGTCATGCCAAAAAGTAATAGAAGTTTAAATGCCAAATGTTTATGAAACTGCTGTCTAAATACTGATTGATTGCACAGTTGAAATAAAAGTTTTCCTTAGTAAAAGTGCTACTTGATAAATATTTTATTTTCAGTGTCTCTGACGAGTGGCTCAAAACAACGAAGATATAAATACCGTGCCTCATTTTAGGCTGAGCGGCTAGGGAAATGTTGGATGTAGTCATAAAAAGAGGTAGAGAGTAAACTGCACATGCCTTATCATTGAAATTCACAAAACTTTCCCAAGCATGTATTCATGTATCATTTATGTACCCGGAATTATTTCCCACTTAAAAACTCTGTGTCCCACCACTGTCAAACACCCATGCAGGATCTCTGTTTTGGTTTATTTTCATTGGGTGTGGAGGATGTGGTTCTCAACACAGTTCTCCAAAGTCTGGAAAGCTGCTGGCACTAGTGCACAACTGAGTTTTTCCCAGCATTTTTACACCCAGCATTTTTACATTTCAACTGTTGAACCTGGTATTTCAACGTATGACAAGACTATGAAAATGCAGTTGCTGTTGGTCAAAAGGCAAACTGCTATTTTTACAAAGGACCACAATGTAGACGGAAGTCAGTCCAGTTAAATTAGCGAGGAAATTATGTTCTATAGGGATTAAAAGGTTTCTGTTGCTAGCAGGTTGATTACTGATTGCCAGTTGAAAGCATTGAAAAATTGGGCAGGCAGTTTAGAAAGTTAGGTACAGGGTTGGATTTAGAGTAGTTGTGCCCGTGCAAATCTTACGCTTCTGGAAATGAAACCACAATAATTACTGCTGTTATTTACAGGTCTCTAGGGACAGTAAAAACAGAACAGCAATGGAAGCTGAACTCTCACAATACTTAGGTAGGTTTGACTTTAGTTTTTCATCTATATTGTTCCTTGAGAGTGGAACTCTTCACAGGTACTGAATATACTTAATGGGAAAGAAAAGATATTTCGCAGGTATGTCAAAGCTTTGAAATCACAGTATTGGGAATTGAAGATTTGAAACAAAAGTTCACTACCTTTCTTCTATGACCAGGAAATGACTGCTTCTGAAGACGTTAATTTTTACTCTTATTTTGACCCTCTCTAAGAGGCATGTGCCCTGTCACTCACAGGTGCCCCTAAGAGAAAGGGCGTGCTGTGTGCGCCCCTGAGAGACAGAGCCTTTCTGCTCTGGCAGTGTCTCATCCTGGTGAGTCCCGTTGCCGGGATTCTACAGTAGAACCATGATGGCTTGCTTTCCTTTTGAATTCTCCAAAGAAAAAGGAAATCCAAAAAGCCTCATCATGCTGCTTTATGAATTACAGCTTTCTTACCTGCAGAGTCTGCTTATAGAACAGTTCTGTCTGGATTATACGACATTTATCCCTGGGAGTATTAGAGCACCAGCTGTGGTGACTATTTATAAAACCAGCTCTAATTCAAAATTCTTTATTCCTTATGTTCAAATATAGGAACACTGAAATATTGTTATTCAGAAGTAATTGAGCAAATTAGACCAATGCTGAAAAAATAATAAAGTATTTTAACAATGTATTTGTTAAAAAAAAATCTTAAACATAGCAAATAAACTTATTTTGTTGTATTATTAATTTATTATAAAACAAGTAAATAAACTTAAAAAGATAACAAAGAATTTGGAATAGCTAGGGAGCAGTCAGTCTTCGACTTTCCAGGAATACAAAAGCCCTGCCAGTGTAGTTCACCAGAGATGCTGTTCTTTCTTCAGGCAAGAACAGGAACCAGCTGTGGTTCCTGATTATGTTACTGCTGGTTAGTACAGGTACATTTTACAGTCCAGAATCCTCATTCTCAATAGCAATAAAAAAAATAGCAAAGCCCCATCTTTTAAGGAGTTGTTATTGCAAAGGAAAGCTTTAAACCAGCCCTGGTTTGTGACGTGATGCTGGGCTACCTGCCTGCAGTCTGCCAACAACCTGAACGTGTGAGCTTCAGACAGGTGAGCTCTGTGGGCCACTTGCATTGAACGACCATGTTAATTGAAATGACAAAATTGCTGTGTCTTTGGTTAGTTTATCATCAGTGACATCAACCTACAGTCTTTGCTTATCTGTTTTTTGGATAAAAGGACCGATACCTTGGAATATGAAGGCCAGCTTCCTGCCATGTTTTGCAGGTTGCTCAGCCCCCAGCAAGCAGGAAAGCTGGGAGTAGGGAAGGAAAGGACCTGCGCTTGTGGCAACACACCAGGATTGCGGAACATCCCTTGCACTACAACAGGTGAGCAGCAGTTCTTCATGGGTTAATTCCTCTTCCTGTCCTCATCCTTTCATTCAGCAGGTAAAATTGGCATCTCTGTTAAGATGTCTGTGCCTGCATTTGGCTGCTAATACTGTGCCATATCTTATTTCTAGCACATGTTGGCACTGTGCAGCCCAGTCTGTCTCCCCTTTTTCCTTCATCTGCAATCATGGTCTCCGGATTGGTGCTGGACAGTAAGGCATATCCTCTGTCAGTAAGAGAGAAGCTGTAGGTGCTAATGCTGTTGCTGTCCCTGTTGCTGTGTCCTACCCTTTCCATAATTAATGTACTAAGACTTGGCTTCATCTTTTCCTCCCCACACAGTGAAGAGGGTGGGATTTGAACCCTCCTCTCTGCACGTACCTGCATGCTAGAGCCCCAGGTGAACAAGCTCAGATTTGACAAAGAGGTACCATATTGTTCCTACCTGAAAGTAGAGCATAAGCTTTATTAAATCCCAGAACTTAAATCCTATTTACACAGGAATGCACCATTAAGATAAACAGAAAATGCAAATAATTCAGAACCTAGCTATGCCTCAGCGAAAGATATACCACGCACGAATGTCCCTGGTGCATAGGATCTCACTTGGCTGGCAATAGAGGTCTGGGGGCTAGCAAACATTTGGGTGCCAGCTGTTCTCTGAGAGACTTCTGCCCTTAACTGTCAGGCATAAATCCCCGTTTTGCCTTCAAGAACCAGCTGAGATGGTTTTCCAGCATTGCTGCAAAGTGGTCCAAGTTCCTCCAGAGTTTCTCTGGAGAGATGGCTCAAGCACCACTGGAAGCTGACCCAAATTCCAGGTGGGTCCAGGGGATGCTAGATACTGTAATCTGCAGTTTTGAAGGATGAATGTGAACATCTGTGGGTGACTGAAGATATATTTTCTATTATACTGCTCCATGGGAAGTTTTAAATCAGTGCCCAAAACACTGGATTCTGCTTTAGCTGGAAGTCAAGTCGGGACTCCCCAGAGGTCATGTTAATAGAATGGTTTTGAATTTCCTTTTTACCCTCATGGCAATACACTGTGAAAAAAAGATTTTCATGAGTAAAGCAGCAGATTTCTGGGTAGGCTGCCAGGTGGTTGCACCACATGAAAGCAGGAAAAGTGTTGCTCACACTATAGCTCACTACAACCTTTAACAATTTGCATTTTGGTGTGCTGCTCTAGGAAACTAACCCCTCTGGTTTGCTGAAAGTTAGCACCAGGGGATGAGCAGCAGAGCTTAATATATGCTGCCTCCTCACTTTCGCAGTTTACAGTCATATTAGCTTAAAACAATCCCACTGAACTACTTGCTCACAGCCTTACCTGTATTAGGTCATGCAATTGAAGTTGGGAGTAAGATAGTTTACAGCACAGACTGTAAAATTAAAAAAAAAAAAAATCCATTAAAACTTATATTGTTCATGTTAGCAACCATCATACTTTGGAATAGATCCTGAATATTTAAAAGTCAGTAACAGCTTGCTCAGTCTCTACCAAATAAAACAATCTGGCTTTGCTTTACACAAAACCCACAGTCAAGGCAGAATGAATCCCTTGAGATCAAGATTTCCAACTTCAAAGGACTAAGTTAACTCCAAGCTTGAGTTCTAAGTATTTCAATTAAAATTCTTCTGCAAAATCAAAAGCAAGACAACCTCTAGTTCATAACAAGAATGAATTCTGATACTGGCTTTTACAATACTTTACAGAAAAATGAGTATATTAAAGAAGAAAGCCCCCTCTTATGTTTTATTTACTGCATCTCTAGCTTTCTGATCTACACATGGCAAGATAAAATCAATGAAGAAGGTCTGCATATTAGGAGCCATTGTAAAACAGCCAAAACACAGCCTAGAAGCACAATCAAAAGCCAAGAGTCCGCTTCTGCCATTGTAAAGGCTCAGAGGTTTACCTGAGCCTGGACTACCTCTGTGATTAGCTTTTGAGTACTGGCTAGAGACGGGAGAAGCACGCTGGCACCCAGCAGTGTCCTGGCTTGCATCATATCCTACAATTTAGAAGTCTTGGCCCAAGAGATGAGGTTGCCATTTGTAGTTGAGTTGGCTGGAAACAGCCTTTTAGTAGGAGCACTCCACAACTTGATTTAGCGTTCAACAAGGTTTTAAGGGTTTGTGATGGTGTTTCTCTTCCCTAGCTTAGCCTGGCCAAAACTTACAGCCCAGCCCTGCAGTTGCAGATACCTAAACGACAGGATTCCCATAGGAACAGATGTATAGCACCCTAAAATGTCTGTCTGTAAATTTCAGATTTTGAATCGTACCCGTGAGGCATAATACATGTCAAGTAATTTAATCCAGTTTGGTGTTTGTGGAGAGATAGTGCATATATTTTAAAGAATTAGTTCCACGTTCTTTTCTTGAAATCCTGGATTTCATATGAATTTTAGCCTGGGGATCAGGGAAGCTGCTCTCAGATGTAATGGGTGAGTGCAGCATCTATGTAACTAGGTCAGAGTGTACTTAGGCATATTTAGTTATCTGTTCTTGTGTTCTTTCCTCCTTTTGTTGCACAATAAACAAAAGAGGTAACTAAGTTTGATTTGCTACCTCCTCTTAAAGGACTGCAAAATTCTGAGATTTCATAGCGGTGTTTTTTTACTTAGTCTTCTAACAACAGTATGTTTGTGATACCTTTTCTTTCATTTTGATTTTTTTTCTGCTTTTGCTGCATTTTCCTTTCATAGTCTACAAACCACCAAATTCAGACACTAGTTTGTTCCTGCTTCCCAGCAGATCTCCTGCTACTTGGACATAGTTGCTTGTTCAAAACAGAGGTCGTCTTACTGCATTCCAGTAAATATTTTCCTTAAAAGTTAAGACTAAGCTATAGTTGCCAAACAAAAAAAAAAGAAAAAGACAGAGCACATACTGTCATGCAGCAGTCCCCTCGATTGTCTACTTACTACGTTTCCTTGTTACTTGCTAATTGTGGAAATGCTTGGTAATTCCTGCAAATACATGTGGTCTTACTGTAAGAAGGTCTGAAACATTATGGCAGGTTAACCATGGCTGGCTGCCAGGTACCCACCAAGCTACTGTCTCACTCCCCCTCCTCAACAGAATGGGGAGAAAATAAAATGAAAAAGCTCATGGGTCAAGATAAAGACAGGGAGATCCCTTACCAGTTACCATCACAGGCAAAACAGACCGAACTTGGGGAAGACTAATTTATTGCCCCATGTCTGTACTCACAGAGGCCGTCCCTGCAAGCCCCCCTGCTACCAAAACCATGCCACCTACACCCAATACAAACATTAACAATATTTTTGTACTAAGATTTTGATACGGACCTGGCTTCTGAGCAGACAGCGCTTAATTTCAAAGAAAGATAATTACAGTTGAAAAACTCAACTACTGATCTGGATGGAGGGAAAGAAAAGAGATAAAATTTGACTGAGGTGGCTATAAAATTCATTGTTCCTCTTGACAGACATGTTCTTGCTAAAATCTGCCCCCATTCTTGACTATCCATATCCTTCCCAGAGAAATCAGATGTACCCATAAGCCCCATAAGTCCTCCAAAGAGAAACTAGTACAGAAACATCAAAACCAGCTGGCCTCTAAAGCTGCCTTGGAGTTCTGTTGCCATGAGCTGAGCATCAGTATTTTGTCTCCCTACTAATGCATGTCAGTTTTAATTGAAGACAGTGAATCACAAATGCATGGATTAAATCTATTTCTTCATGTGGTCTTTGACTATAGCAATGAGGTACTGATCCTCTGCCTCAGTGCGAGAAGTTGTTATTTACCCATCTGTAACTAGGGTTAGAGTGATGGTGGTGTGGCCAGAAGTTGCATATAGTGGTATCACAAAATCCAGAACAGTCTACAGAGGTACTGAGGGAGGCTCTGCTATCCTCCCAGTGACTCTGCCTGATACTCTGAGCTGCAGTTGCCATACGTACTTAACTCTGACTGGACAAGCAGTCCTCGTCCTTGAAATTGGAGGACTTCAATCAGCAATGTTCAATGGGTCTGATCCATCCCAGAGGCAGCACCCTGTGAACTGCATTCTCCAAACTCATAAAAAGCAGAGCATAAAACAAAGGCATTTTTGTATGTGGAAGTTTCTATAATAGATCTTGTCACATGACTGACTTGCAAAACTTTGTAAAGACCCTTCAGTTTTATGGCAAAGATTTCACTTTGGCAATTCTGCAATGCAAATCCCAGAAGAGTCTTTGCCTAAATTTAATTACTTAGTTACAAATGCACTGATGGATAGGACAGCCAGGGACAAGGCTTCCTCGGGTTTTTACAGTAATGGACTTTATAACTTTGACTCGCAGCAGTCATTGACAGAGTCTGGATCCAAGAGCAGATTCATAACCGATTATTGCAAAGATCCGCACGGCCTGTGCAGAAAAATAGAAACGGCTCTTGAGAGAACTGAGTAAGTGCAGGAATTAAATGCTTGCCTCTCTTTTCATCAGATCATGATAAACAGGAAAATGTAAAGGATTAAAGCTGATAATCCAGAAAGCGCAAGAAATTGCATTTCTTTCATTTCCCCACCGAGTGTCCCCATTTCACTATTCATTGCTCAACAGGCGACCACTTCGGGTAGGTAGTAGTCCATTTCGCAGAGGAGCCCACAAAGATTTGTTAAACATGTATTTGCCCCTTTTAAAAATTTATTATATTGATAATGTTAGCGTGGTAAACTGAAAGTTCCTTTCTATATATCCTAGAGGTAAAGCGGAAAGAAATCTTATGTTCCTTGGTAACTTGAAGATCAAATGAGGGGTTTTTAATGCATATATATATATACACACAGACACATTGGATTTCTTGTCAAAACTTTTGTACTTTGGTATATAAATAAATACAATAATGAAACTTATGTTCCTAGATAACCAATGGTTTAGGTACTACACTGACTAATTTTTACATACTGGCTGTAAAATTTCATAGTTTAAAAATGTTGGTAAATTGTAGGCTTTAACTTTATAAGTCATATATGTTGTTGGCAAGAGTATCTGAGTGCATTGAAGTTTTTTTCCTGAAATAATTGCCCATGTCTATATTTTAACTGTAAGTTGAAAAGGCAAGTGTACACTCAAAAAAGAACTCTCGCTAAATTTCAGAACTGTCTATGAGCTTGCGTTGAAATTTAAAATTTTTGTTCCAGTCTAGATGTGACACTAGAGTGCCCTTTGTACACATTTCTGAGACATTTCTTGATCAGTCCACTAATAACTTGTCTTACAAAGCTTAGAAAAATGTGTTTCATCAGCCAATGATTTGCTATGTGATAGACAAAGCCATGATCATTCTCAGGACTTTTACTTGATTTCATGATACATCATATGGAAGAAAACTAACGCAATGGACTACAGAAAAAAATCTGACATTCTTTCATGGGCTAAC